ACCTATTTTTATTTAATATTTCCAAGTTAAACATCAGTACTATTATAGATCAAATATATTTACCCCATAATATTATCAAAACTTACTTGACTTCAGATAGTCCTAGGGCTCAAATGTGTGGCTTCAATAGTCTTGAAATCAGATGTATGTAATGGAGGAATGCACAGTGCATGTAGGGGGTGTGGCCTCAATAGCCCTGCAGTAAGCAGTGTGCTGTGTGCATGTGATTGAGGTGTGTACGTGAAGTTAATATGGTTGTTTTAGCTAAACTATATTTAAGTTCCCTGTTGAGGGCCAACCTCCAATTTTGTAAATTTCAGATTTATTCCCGTTAATTCCCATAGAAAGTTTCCAACTTGGAAAATTCCTGGAATTTTGCAACCCTAGTTATTATTAACATCTGCATGGATGAGGATAGGCACTATACTGTATGCACATGTTAGACTGTCCTCAGTCTCTATAATATTCACAACCATGTGAACTGGCAATCTTATTTTGAGTCACAACCCAGATCTTTGATGGTGTTGTTGGGTTTCGTGTTGATGACATGATGAAATGAGAGGAATGAGAGCAATAGAGAAATCAAGTCACTACCACAGTGTCTATTGAGCACAGTGTCAGATGGTTATGGAGGAGAATATCTCAGTTCAAATCCATAAACTATAGATTAAGACTTGATTTACCGGCATGTGACCAAGCTCTGCAGAAACTTTTATGCAAACTCATTATGCTCTTTAGGATGCAGCAAACATGGCTGCACATGTCAAACCTCAAAGATCTGCCTTTCCCATTTTTGTGTGAAAGCACAATGTTCACCAGCCTGTGACAACCAGCTCCTTTCAAAGAACTAGAAAGACAACTGTGTGTTCACTATTCATTAATGCTCTTGTGCCTGAATGGGAACACATGCAGCCTGGTGAAATGCCTGAAACTCGAGTAGTAGAAGCTGATATAGCAGCAGATTAATACCCATGGTTTTGGTATTTCATGTCACATGTGTGTTTGGTGAGTGTGTTGGCAGACAGCAGCGTACCGTCCCGTGTAGTGCCAGAGTCTCAGCAGGTCGCTAACAGTATCGTTTGTCACTTTTAGGACTCCAGGGTTTGACTGGTGTTAATCTGCTAACAGGACATTAATGAGCTGAATGTCCTGTGGATGAACTGACTGTCCCTCCTCCCACTGCTGTGTCACTCACATTCTTCAAGTCCTCAAGCTGCCCTTCATCAGCCTACTGTATGAACATTAACTCCAGTGTGTGTGTGTGTGCGTGTGTGTGTGCGTGTGTGTGCGTGTGTCTGTTCTCAGGGCCTGCAAAAGCCCTGTCTAGAGGAGATCATGCATGCCAGAAATGCCATCTTCAGTCCCTCCATGTTTAGTTCCTCGCTGGAGGAGGTGATGGCCCTGCAGAAGGAGCGGTATCCAGACAGCCAGCTGCCTTGGGTGCAGACTCGCCTCTCTGAGGAGGTTCTGGGTCTTAATGGGGACCAGACAGAAGGCATCTTCAGGTGAGAGGGGTTAGGGAAAGGAACTGCAATGATATATGAGGAACCTTGTGAGGGATTGACTTGCTGTTAATGATAACTTTGGTGTGGTGTTTTTAAATTTATATATATTGGACTAGAGATAAAACCATTTCACAAACTGCTTCATGATTATGGTGACCAAAATTATCACTGAAAATGTTCACACAAACACACAGAGAAGCTGAAGCAGACAGGTCAACAACTTGTTAGGGCAGAAATTGAACCTAAAAGCTTGATAGTCAGGACAAAATAACAGCCCTAATTAACAAGGTGAATGCAAACACTTGCTTGGTATGGCCAGAGCACTATTAGCTCTCCTGCTGAACAGCATCAACCAAATCGCCACAGTAATAAAGGTTATTAAAGATTGAAACAGTAATTAGACTTTAGACTTTTACCAGGGTATACCATGACACAAGTAACAGTTCATCCCTAGTTTGGACAGAGATGGAAGTAAACTACAATTTGACTGCAAGAGCAGGGAGGTCATTCTGGCTTTTTGCTGCCTCTGGTCTGTTTGCTGTTAGAGAACAGCAGCTTTTTCCAGCTGTGGCCTGCTGTAGCTGATATCAGTACTTTGAGAGGGCTGATATACACAGCACACTGAAAGTCACTGTGGAGCTATGTGAAGCTGAAGGGAAATGCAGGTTCATCACGACCAGCAGTTATTATGGCCACTCTAAAATATTGAATATTGAGCATGGTCAAAGAAATACATCAGCTTCCCAATAGCATTCTGCTCCTCCACTGTGGAGCTATTTAGAGGTTTTTGGAGATCTCAGGGTTATCACAACTGTGTGGAACCTGCATATAAAGAAATACAGAAATGTAACTATAATGACCTTTGACCTCCAGAGTACCAGGTGACATTGATGAAGTCAATGCCCTCAAGCTGCAAGTGGATCAGTGGAAAATCCCCACAGGACTGGAAGACCCACACATCCCAGGTTAAAACACACACACACACACACACACACACACACACACACACACACACACACACACACACACACAGACCAGATGGTTCACCTGCAGTAACGGGTCAGATGGCTTCATGTGACTGTGCTCTGACCCTGTCTGTGTGTCCTTCTGTGTGTCCCCAGCATCCCTGCTGAAGCTTTGGTACAGGGAGCTGGAGGAGCCACTGATCCCTCACGAGTTTTATGACGAGTGTATCAGTCACTATGACAACCCAGAGGCAGCAATCAATGTGGTGCTGGGTCTGCCACACATCAACAAACTGGTGCTCTGCTACCTCATCCGCTTCCTACAGGTAACATACGCAGGCTACACAGGCGATGCTCTGAACACTAGGTTCCACCATTTTTTCTACTGTCAGCTCATCACATTTGGTAACGTGGTTAGCTCTTGTATTAGAAGGAGATATTTTACTATTTCAGTCTGTATTCAGTATTTGTATTTTGCTTACATTTCTAACATGTACATCTACTAAGAGAGAAATATATAGAAACATTTGTATACATGGATTATGATGAAGATTCCATTAAAATCTTACACTATAGGATTTGAGATCTTGATTTGAGAAGTTTTCCTTTCCAATCAATTCTATTCTGTTACTTAGTTTAGTTACTAGTTACTTGCTGCCCCTCTGCAGACTTCCAGACCAATCAGAAGACACTTGCCTCTGAGTGAGGGGCTGCATAACAGACGGATTTAAATAAATAAGGAGTGAATCATTGAAAGGCCAGAATAAATAATTAGAAATAAACAAATTATTAACAAAGAAACTTGATACTTAAAATGAAAAGTTTGTAAGACTCTAGCTGATGTTGGACCAGTAAGCATACATGTATTTATGATAGGGTTAGACTCCTGTCAATCAGACAGATACACTGATTTTACTGAAACATTTTCTTAAAATAAATTTACCTCTGAGACATGTTATTTGTTGATTTGGCCACTTGTGGAACTACTGTTTGGGTTAGTGAGCGTATTTCTTTACGTAGTTTTTTGGCCCTCTACCCCAATACATTGGAGATGGTTGCAGTTTAGTTTCTACTGCTCACAACTCTGAAACATAACAAACAATATTCAACAGTAGCTCCACGATCCACAGAATTCAGCTGGAAATGATTTCCCAAAGCAGAAAACTGTTAATGTCTGTGAATTATCCAGAGAAACATGAACTGTGCCTATCAAACAGATGCGTTTGAATGCTTTTAGTGCTGCACAACATAGATACAGATAGTATTTTGAATCTGTGATTTGGGAGAAACAACCCTGTGAATGTTGCAGCTTTTCCTCACACCTGCAGCAAGTGCTTCTTAAAGAGACAGATGCATGTTAGCCACAGATCAAGTATTTATTATCTATTCTTCACGTACTGTAATAAAACAGTACAATAGGTTTTTAATGTTGGTGAGTTAGCAAAGAACTAAGGTTCATGTCAAATTGGCAGGAGTTGAAATGAAGTCTGACCTCAGACGACCTTCAGAATACAGAACTCTGCTGTGTGTTGTGTTCACAGGTGTTTGCTCAGCCTGCCAATGTGGTCATCACCAAGATGGATGTGAACAACCTTGCAATGGTCATGGCTCCCAACTGTCTGCGCTGCCAGTCCGATGACCCCAGGATCATCTTTGAGAATACTCGCAAGGAGATGTCCTTCATCCGTGTGCTCATCCAGCGGCTGGACACCAGCTTCATGGATGGAATCCTATAGCCCCCCTACCACCACCACTGCCTCTATACACACACACACACACTTCACTCCCACCCTTCTCTTCACTCCCTTTAACCCCCTCCATGACAGGCTCCATGCTCTCCCCCAGCACAGGGACATCATACATTCATTCTGCTGCTGGGTGAATACCTCACATCTCCAACATGTTTACTTTCCTAGAACTAACTCAACTGATCTGACTCTGTCCTCTGTACATTTTGAGGTGAACCAGCTGTTTTTCTTTTTCTGCCAGTATTAGAGTTACAAGGTTTTCATATAGTACTGTGTGTGCCTTCACATGCACTAATCGACTGTACACATAGAATATGAAGGAATCAGCAGGGATCTCATCATGTCATCGGAGTCATTTTAAATCCAACTCATTAGTGTTAAATGAACTGGGGTTTGTCTTTGTTTCTCCTGCTCACACACACACAGTCATACTGACATGCACACACACACACACACACACACACATATACAGTACATGCACACACACACACATATATACAGTACATGCACACATGTCCAGCCCCAGGATTTCACACCCTCTTGTAAACAACACCATCCGACACAGAGCAGGAATTCTGCCTCTGTCCCACACTGGCTGAACAACACATCCAGCACCAGATTTTAACAACCAGTTCCATCACTGTCTCATGATGTCAGATTGCTGTTAGATTCTCAGACTGAGAGGTGATGCTGTGACCAACGTGTTTTCAGAGGTAGCAAACAGAACTTTTCACACTGCCAGGGTAGGAGCTTAAAACTCTTTACTGCGGCACACTGGCGCTGCTTCCACGGGACAGACAGTGAGAGAGAAGAGTGAACCTCACTCATTCTGTTAAAGGAGTGCGAGTGTCGATAAAGACAGTGATACTGTGAGAGTTGGCCTCTTAGCCATCAAGTGACGAGAACATGGACACTCAATCACCCAGAGTTGTGTCACAGTGTCCACGGTGTTGGACAGATACATTATTATAGACTGTGTCTCAGTTGTTTGTACATTGAACACATTTTAGTTTGAAGTTAAGTTAGTGAACAGTGTCACTCAGTGTGCTTCATGGCTGATGGTGATCACTGACTACTGACGCTACTTTACACAGGCTCCCTGAAGGTCTTCAAAACCTCTGGATTTACCTCATATTGATTTAAATGTCATCTCAAAACGTATCATATTCTCTCCTCACTGCTGTAGGTACTAATGTCAGGTATTAAATGCTCTGTCTTTATATAGCGCTCTTCTAGTCTTGATGACCACACAAAGCTCATTTAACTACAGTTGAGCCATTCACACAGTGCATCTATTTGCAGTACTTTCTCAAAAACTCATCACTTACACACTGCCCGCACAGCCGTCCAAAGGGTTCCTGTATTGTTACACACTAAAAAACAGACTGAGGCCACAGTGGACTGTGTGCACTAGGTGGCTGTGCACTGACCTCTCTGTCAGTTAAAGGACAGTTAAGGTTCACCATCTTGTAAAGCAACTTATTGGAATGAATCACTTAATTTTAGGATGCTTCTCCTGGTCTGCTTTACATTGATATATATTATTAAATTATTAGTTACTGGTATAAATAATTATGTATTGGGAAAATTAAATAATAATAATAAATATTTGTAGACCACATTGTTCCCATCAATTTTCCATCACACATCATACTTTAGTGCATACGTTCTATCCTGCACAGAGCCTGTTCACACTAATGTAAACATTGTACTAATACCTTTCACATACACATCCACACAACACATAGAAATGTGCAACAGGCTGTGTTGCAGTCAGAGGCTGTTGATAGGCTCCATGCTGACAGTTTCACACTGAATCATATTGTATGCTGTGCAATCAGTCGGACTGCTGAAACTTGAACTTGAAGAAGTTTCTCACTGTGAGTCAGTGTCTCATCAGTGTAATTAACAGGTATTTAAACATGAGTGGCTTTAATCTGGTTGTAACTGTTAACAAAGGAACTCTGAGGTTAACGCCTCTGCATGGTGATGGTTGGGTTTCCCGGTGTTCTTTTTCCCCAATTCTGTCCAACTGACATGAATGCAGCATCACTATGGCCACAAGTGACAATCAACACATGTGACACAAGCAGAGAGAATCCATGATGTCATCACAGAACAAGTCACACAAACACTTCAATCATCTGTTGTGTGGTGTCCATGTTCTAATCACTTAACATGGTGGTAGGTAGTCATGTGACACGGACCGCTCCAAGACCCCACGGTGTTGAGGTCATCCGACTGCAGACAGAGAAACAGTCACTCACCTTAGCTCCATGACAGGGGACAGGTGGCTGGTCCACGGTTCTGCTCTCAAAACAAACCACAGTTCACAGCAGGAAGGCTGAGAGCAGCACTGCCACTGAGCATGCTCTCCCCCATCCTCCCACCCTCCTCTCCTCCATCCTTCTATCTCCCCTCCATCCACCACCTCACCTGATCTGACAGCAGGGCGTCGGTCCACCCACTCACTGAGGGACAGTCCTTTCTGCTCACTAATGCTTTGTGAATGCATGTAGCTGTGGGCGTGCTTGTCTGTCCTCCTGTCTCATTGTTTACACAATCGGCTTGTCTCTCACATCCCTATTTGTCTCTGTCTATGATCAGCTACTGCTGTGTATTCAATTCATTTGAGATTTGTGCTGTATTTAACAGAATTTCTATGTTTTTTAACCTATTCTTTTTATATAATTTAATTTATTTATATTTATTTGAGATTTCCTTAATGCCTTCTCCAGATACAGTATTATAGCCTCCTGTGTGTGTGCACGTGTGTTTTTCTTACAACACATGTATGTGTATGATTGTGTGAATGTCGTCAGGCACCTGTGTATTGATGTACGACTGTGTGAATCTTGCTGTATCATTTTGATTCATTAGGGGGTTTTGTAACACAACTGAAATTGATTGTGGATGATTGTGAATACTTCACACGCACACCCACCCACACAATGCTGGAAAAAAACATTAGCTTCCATCTTTGAGATCCAAATGACATAGTGTCAAACTTTATCTTTGGCTAAATGACACTTTTGTGTGACTTTGTGTCACTGTGTGTGTGTGTGTGTGTGTATGTGCGCGAGTGAGTGTGTGAGTGTATGTGTGTGTGATGAACAGCTCACTCACTAACATACACACTCGAGATAGATAATGTGTATATTGCCACTGTACAGACTATGTAAAAATAAGTATATCCAGAAACATGAGAGGAGAGGCACCACATGTGATAGTAAAACTTGCTGTGGAACATGTTGGGGGGGTGTAGGATGTTTTTTGTTTTTTAAGTCTTGTTTCAGTGTAAATCTCCCTCACATTGTTAGAGGTCTACGAGTGGCAGTTGAAGCCATCTCTCTGAACAGTCTGTGGACACACAGGTCTTTACCCATCCTACACTGTTTTCCAGTGTCACAGTGAATCTCTCACTTATTCCAGAAACAGTGTGTGGACATATACACTGTTTTCCAGTGTCACAATGAATCTTTCACTCATTCCAGAAACAGGTGATGATTGTGTCACTTCTTTAAGAGAATGATTCCTTCACGTGTCATAGAGATTATGAGCTGCGTAAGTGAGCTCTCCGTCTCCAGTACATGAATCAGTGTGTCACTGAACCATGCTGCAAATATTCAGGGCACTAACACATACTGCATCCAGCTGATAATTAAAAGACATCACGCCCTCATGGGAGCAGGACTGTGTGGTGGATGTTTGGTCCTTTACAACACACAGGAGCCTAAGTGTTGACAACAGGACAATGTGAAAATAAAACAGATTTATGTGAACCTCTACCTGAGTGAGCGACACAATGAGACACCATCATCAATCGTGCAAAACAAAACAAGGCCATTTTGTTGAAAGCGTCCTGACGCCTGTACAGAGACAGGTTTGAGGCTAGCTTCGCTGTGTCTCATCTCTCTGTATTTGCAGCTTGTTTCTTATTTCACACTAGGAAGTAGAGGTTTAAAGATGATTTGAGCTGCAGCTCGATGGAACTACTTATTGATCACCAACAACTGGGTGGTAGCCAGGTTTGAAACACCGGTGACCACCGACTAACTAACTAAGACATCATTTGTGAACTACACTAATACAGTATACACCAATTTGCTTCCCATTTCTTGTCTGATTACAATGCATATGATCATCTAATGAGGGTGAGCTCATCTGTTCCAACAACCAATCATTTCAATATTTGAATAACTAATAACGAACACACTGACTTCTATTGTGGTATGAATGTTTCAATTTTAGTTGCGCTCTAAATGCTTAGTGAATCAGGAGCCTTGGAGGCAGCCCGGTGTGTTTGTGAGTCTCTTTGTTTTATGTAAAGTCAGTGATGGTTGTAGATAGGCCCAGCAAATCAACCAATTAGCATGCAGACATCACTTTCTTCAACATAAATTTACTCAAACATGAGAATATACAATAAGAACAAGCTAAACTTACAGTGTTACAGGATTTAGCTTTAAAAGAAAATCTTACAGAAACATAAAGCTCTTTTTAATCCCTTTTCTCTGATTGTTTTTTCTACTTGGTTCCTACTAATGATGAATTGGTGGTCAGTGTTGATGCTGTTCGTCTAATGTAAAAATAAATAATAATAAAAAAACTATGTGAGACAGCTGCTGTGAAACTGCTCTTCAACTCGATGTCAGTCCTCCAGGTTTTTCAGTTGTATCTGAACATCCACTGTCACTCACACTGTCCAAGAGGAGAATCTGAGGTGTAACAGACGCTGATTTAATAAACGAAATCAAATGTCAAACACTAGATGCTGTTCTTTTCCCACTGTGCACACACTGAAAAGCATGTTTAGTAAAAATATATAACAAAGGTATGAAAAATTTCAAACAACTAATTACAAGGTAACAATACTTGTGTTCTACCATAACTTAACTAACTAGTCTAAACCAGTTATGGAGCTTTGTCCAGCTCTCTGCAGTCTGTCTGCATACACTCAACAGAGAAGCTGTTGATCTGGAACAATGTTGTCTTGTGAGGGGGGTGGAGGACTGACTGTGATTCAACTTAACACTGACAAGGCATCTTTGGAATCTAAGTGAAGTCAAACTGACCACAGACCAAATGATAACCTGTACATACAATTTTGTTCACATGTTGCTGATGTGGTCGACCATCGTGTCTGTCGACTTCCATCTTTCCATCAGCAGCACGCAGAGTGGACGGAGCAGGTTCAGTGCAGCGTTCCAGGTGTCAGGGTCTCGATCCCCAGGGTTCATCCTGAGGTCGAGAGTCAGTCGCTGTGGGGGGCGATGTGTCCTTAGTCTGTGCGCGAACTCCAGCAGCTCAGCAGGCTGGATGAAGTTGGAGCTATTGGGGACACAAGACAGCACATGACATTGTAAACTTATACTTATCACATTATGGGTAGATATTATGAATGATACAATAAAATCAAACAAGTACCTTAATACTTTAGTATTGTAAAGTAAATGCAGTTACACCACTGTTAAATACACAATAAGAATGATGGCCCTCATATGTAGTTCATATGAAGGGTGTATGAGCCTGCACAAGTTTTATTGAAACACATACAGTGAATAAAGATGGACAACTTGAAATCATTTTTAACACTCCCTGGTGGCTGGCTGCATGTTAGTGTATGGGACATGGACCAAAATAAAAAAAGTCCAAAGGACACATGATGTATGTTCAAATGCTCATGTGTCCACTACCATTGGATTGAATTTTTTATTTGATGCTATAAATTCTGAAGTGGGGACGACTACGTCCCCAAACTGTACGAGCAGCTGGCTGGAAAATAAGAGAATAACTAACACTCAATCTGCACTAGGAGTTCCTGTGGAGGAGGACAGTCTCTAGGAAATTCCCGTTTTCACAAGTGGCAAAAAAACCAACAGTTTAGCATTTATCAGTTTAGCATTAACATTCATCATTATATGTAGTCAATGGTTTGAAATAAAAGGTGAAATATTTCAGATTATATGTTTGTTGTTTTTTTTGCATCTGTCCCGTTTTAGAAATGACTTAAACAAGCCCAAGCACTCGCTTTGAATCCTGCAGAGGATCTCCTGCTGCGTTCTCACGTTGGCTCCTCTGAACCTTCAACTGACTTTATAAGTCCACAGAGACGCTCACATGGAAATCCATGTTCACACTGGAGACAGTGCAGAGGATCTCCAAAGTTCAGTGCATGTCTAAAAGCAGCTGAACACATTGTATATTAGAAAAATACAGTGAATCAAGTATTTCCCTTACTTTTGGGTCTTTTCATACATTACAATTTTATCGGCTCCGTCAGTAATTTAGTGTGTCAGAGACGTCAACTTAGTCTGTGTGTGTGTGTGTGTGTGTGTGTGTGTGTGTGTGTGTGTGCGTGTGTGCGTGCGTGCGTGCGTGCGTGCGTGCATACGCAATGATGATTGAACAAGATGAGTAATGCTTGTAATGAACTTTGTGAATAATTGTAAATAAGATGTAGATGTAAAGATATGTTAAAGGAGAAGTTCGGTTTTTTTCAACCTGGACCTTATTTCCACTGTGCACACACTGAAATGCATTTTTAGTAAAAATATATAACAATGGTATGAAAAATGTCAAACAACTAATTACAAGGTAACAATACTTGTGTTCTACCATAACTTAACTAACTAGTCTATGGAGCTTTGTCCAGCTCTCCGCAGTCTGTTTCGCGGCAGATAATGCGTTATTTAGAGGCTGTATTGTGGATGCCCCAGTCACTTGTGTTGTATGGATATACAGTTGTGTTCAAAATAATAGCAGTGTGTTTAAAAAAGTGAATAAAAGCTCAAAATCCTTATAATAGCTTTTATTTCCATACACGCAAATGAATTGGGAACACTGCACATTCTATTCCAAATCAAAACATGAAGAAAAATGTATAAAATTTCTTATTACTTTACAGAAATTGAAGAAAAAGGAATATTAGGCTGTTCAAAAAAATAGCAGTGTCTGTATTTTTCTTTACAAACTCAAACATTTACTGTATAAACTGAAAAATGCTTGAAGATTTAGCTTTCCTGTGAATAATTGAACTAATATTTAGTTTATAACCACTGTTTCTGAGAACTGTGTGTTGCATGGAGTCGACCAACTTCTGGCACCTGTGAACAGGTATTCTAGCCCAGGACGATTGACTACATTCCACAATTCCTCTGCATTTCATGGTTTAGCCTCATAAACAACATTTTTGATGTCAGGCCACAAGTTTTCTATTGGATTAAGGTCCGTGGATTGGGCTGGCCACTCCATAACGTTAATCTTGTTGGTCTGGAACCAAGATGCTGCTCACTTACTAGAGTGTTTGGGGTCTAACCCTTGTTGAAACACCCATTTCAAGGGCATCTCCTCTGCGGCATAAGGCAACATGACCTCTTCAAATACTTTGATCTATTCAAACTGATCCATGATCCTTGGTATGCGATAAATAGGCCGACACCATAGTATGAGAAACATCCCCATATCATGATGCTTGTGCCACCATGATTCACTGTCTTCACAGTGTACTGTGGCTTGAATTCAGTGTTTGGGGGTCATCTGACAATCTGTCTGTGGCCCCTAGACCCAAAAAGAACAATTTTGCTTTCATCAGTCCACAACATGTTGCACCATTTCCTTTTAGGCCAGTCACTGTGTTCTTTGAAAAATTGTAATGTACAATGTGACTTTGCGGGGGCTTCTTGCTGATAGCTTGGCTTCACATAGGCATCTTAT